AAAAAAAAGTTCGTTTAATTTTGTAATATATATTATTTTAATTTTTTTTAGGTTTTTAACCTAATTTTTGTAAGTCTCTGTTCATCGTGAGTTATCGCTTATTTTATTAGATACAACTCTTCATTAGTTTATGTTTAATTGATTATGACATATTTTTATAATCCCAAACCATATATAATATAGTAATTATATGAATATGATAGCCGTTTTCTAAGCTATTTTAATTGATTATACGAGCCGGCCTTATATGTATAATTGCTTTGTTGGATATAGCGTCTGATAGAACCATACATAGGCCTAAGATATTTAATATAATAACATAGACATAATCACATACAGACCCCCCGAAACATTGATATTTACAAATTAACCCCTGAACTGGTATATTTTGTGCTTACATTGTGGGTGGGGTTCTAAACATTGAGGGCTAGTTAACCACTGATCAATGGCAATGTATGGTTAGATAAGCACAGGTTAGATGAAGTAGAATCAAAATTGACCAAATCAAGAAGAGCTTAGATCAATTAAATCCAAAGGAAAATAATATGCTTCTTATATAGATCAATTTTTAATAATCAGAGTCACATTTATTTTGTGTTATCTCTTCATGAAAATAATATTTACTTTACCTCTAACTCTTTGTGACATCAAACTTTCAATCAGAATGCAGAAGTTTACCAGTCAATGACTTCATCATTCGAAGCATCAATCTTTTGCACCTTGATAACAACTACTCATTCCTCATCCGCATTGAAAGAAAGCGACCCAATCTTGAATTCATTAGTATTGTACACATCAAAAATTCTAGCAGGAATCTCAAATAGAAAGAATTTCCAAGATGAAAGAGCATTTCCTCGAGATAAGCAATCAGCCGAGCATGAAGGTGCGTCTCCAAAATCATGGATTGGTTCAAGCTTTGGAGATGGTTCCCCGCTCGGTAGCGACAAAACCCGCCGAAAGTGAGGTGTAAATCATCCCGGATGCAAGTTTTGTCCGATACCCCGCATAGGCTGCGGCAAGTTCCGCATAAGTGCTTGCAATATTAGGAGATCCGGCTGAGGCGATGAACAAACCAGTCACGTGAGACATGCTCTGTAAGACTTGAGCAGAACGGAAAGTGAGCCGCAACTTTCTCAATGAAAAAAGCCGATCGATCACATTCGACCGACCAACCCTGCAGTCACAGTCGCTGCTGCAGATCCTTTCGACCGAGGCAAGTGGTAAGGAGCTGAGGCGAGTGATTATCACGATCCTCCTGCATTTGCTGCCACAGGAAAGCGGTGGCGCCTTGGCGATGGAGAGAGAGAAGGCCTTTAAGATTATCTCCTCCATGGAGAGATTTATTGATGAATTAGCCAGGTCAGAGATACACCAGAATAGTGGGTTGTCCAAAAATGTTGTGGAGTTTTCCTATAACGCGGTGGTCGTTGATGTGTAAAAAAGCATGCTTAATTTTATTTTTATTTTGCACATTTTTATGAACGAAATTGTACTTTAAAGATGAGTATTTTCATATTTTTCTTACAGGTATGCATATAGTAGAAATGGAACGTAGTGGAGAAGAAATGGAGCGAAACGGAGGTGACAAGGAGCAACGTGATTCAAGAGTCTGGCGCTAGCCATTGAGCGCCAAGGCGCTCCTACCAAGCGCCACATTCTTTGGCGCCTAGGCGCCAGTGCCGAACCAGCAGACAGAGAGGTTGACGCCTAGTGGAGCCTGCGCGGCAACAACTGCCAGACATTTTTTAGTAGTTACTCCCACACAATTTGGGGAGTTATGCAGACGATATATGGGCTTATTTGAAGAGTTTTAATAATGAGAGCTTTGCTGAAGTCCATGGGGAACACTTCTGAAGTGCAGGGGAGAGTCTGTGGAGATTAGTGAGTTGTATTGGAGGGAAGACATTCAACATTGCAGTAAGGATTGGGAGATACTTTAGTGAGGCATTTCCAACATTTCGTAAAGAAAAAAAACTAAGTATTGCGTACTCTTTTGTATTGTAATTTTTTGTAAACACAATTCTAGTTGATTTGTTTTGTTTTAAAGATGTGTTGTGGTGTTTTCTCCGTGCTATGTGAGTAGTCATTTTACCTTTTCTCTTGTGGTGAATAAGTAGGTAGTGTAGGAATTATAGAATGCTTTAAATTGGTTTTCAATCATTAATGTGATGTGTATGCTTCAAAGCTTTATTTATTTATTATTCTGGCCAAATGAGTGGTTCAAATGTATTGCGATCCATAATAACTCGGGAGAGCTATGGAAGAATGATTAAAACATTCACGTTGAACTATAGAGTATGAAGCAAAAGTAAACTATATGAAGATGCAAATGAATAGAGAAATAATCTTTGATGGGTTCAAATTGGAGTTTAAGGAATTAAAACCAGTTCAACCAAACTTATTTATGCACTCGAGAGAGGGTAAATATAAGAGCTGCTCATGTTTCTCCCCAGCCGCAGTTACAATTTGAAGTATTCATTTTCCTACACATCACTTATATCATTGCAAGGGAGGGTAGTTTTATAACTTGATTATCACCAATTCAAATATATTTAGTAGAATTTCTGTACTAGTAAGCCTTCACGAGTGGTTTGTAATTCAGTAGGACTAGTGAGCCCATACAGGATATCCGACGAGACTTGTTGTCCAGATAATTTACGAAACACTTTTGGCTGGTCTTGTTTTCCTACACATCACTTATATCATTGCAAGGGAGGGTAGTTTTATAACTTGATTATCACCAATTCAAATATATTTAGTAGAATTTATGTGCTAGTAAGCCTACAAGAGTGGTTTGCAATTCAGTAGGACTAGTGAGCCCATACAGGGTATCCGACGAGACTTGTTGTCCAGATAATTTGCGATACACTTTTCACTGGTCTTGCGAGACTTGTTGTCCAGATAATTTACGAAACACTTTTGGCTGGTCTTGTTGCTAACGAGTGTGAAATTATATCCAGAGCTTGAACCTATCATTGGTTTTGAAGACACGACTTCATGTTCGGTTTTAAACCATCGGTTGATTGCTTTCCTCGAGAGGAGGGTCTTTCATCTTAATTGTTTGTTCTCTTTGAGATTTGTGCTGATATTTTTGGTGTCTATATTGGCAAATAACATTACTTTGAGCATTATTATTTTCTTCCAAGATCGAGCTTCTTAAAATTTTCCATTTTATTTTAATCAATGTGCTATCAAAATCAAACACTCTCAAACATTTAACCAAAACAAAAAACACATTACAAATTTACAAATTGGGCTGAACCTGCACGCCCGCCTGCGCTATCCACTCTTCCCCACCAAGCAAAGCAGCCACCGCAAACTTACTCGCTTCATCCGCACTCATCGCGGGCCTGTACCCGACCCACTTGACCCGACCCGCAACGCTCGCCCCCGGGCCCGTATTCTCATACTCCGCATAATCAATAGTATCCGGCGGCGGCACGCCCGGCAACCAAGCCAACCAACCCGCCGGGTCGACCACCGACCCGATCTCCGACCTCATAAAAACCGTCGTGGAATAGTTCTTCCAAGGCCGGCCCAAAAACGTGGGCCGGGTGACGGGATCGTAGGGGCGGATGGCGGAACCCTGGATCGAAAAGGCGGTGTTCTCGTTGGGATCCTTCTTCCCGTGGGCGGTGATGGTGTTGGACTGGTTGGGGAGGGGCTGGCGGGGGAGGATGGTGCAGTTCTGGAAGACGGCGGAGGAGTCGCCGAAGATGAAGTCGACGGTGCCGGCGATTTGGGAGTCGCGGTAGAACTGGCGGTTGGA